TTTTTAAAAAAAAAAAAAAAAAAAAAAAAAAAAAAAAAAAAAAAAAAAAAAAACTAAAAATAGAAACACAAAAACCTCACATTGTAGAACTTTATTACTGACTTTTGTATTCATTTTCATTTGCTTCTTTTCAGCATCTCTCATCAACATATTATTCTATTTCTCTCTTCAATCTTCTTCTGGGTACTCTTGATTTCTTTCCAAAATTTATCAGGTTTGATCCGTCCCCATAAAATCTTTTACTCTTTTGCTCTATAGGTCTTTGAATGATCCATCACTGTTTCCATTTTCTGTTTTTATTTTCGAATTCTATGGGTTGACTTTTTTCATAGGTCAAATTGATCTTTTTTTGGGTGCTCTTTGATATTAATTTATATGGGTGTCTTTGTTGATTTTATTGATGCTAATATTTATCTGTTTAAAGCAATTTCCCGTATAAATTTTTGGTCTTTGAGCACACCCTTTTGACTTTTGATTTTCTTGGGTTGCTCTATGAATTGTTGAAATGGTGGAAATAGGGTAAAGAAGTAAAATTAGTACTCCTTATATTATATTAAAGTCTTCATTAATCTGATATTTAAGTAGAGGCGAGAGGAGATAGGAGGAAGCCAAAAAATTGAAAGATAGAGAGTGTATAAAATGGGTCTTAGGTCCAAATCTTATCGGAGGCAAAAAGCCACTAGGTGATTTCTTCCTATCAGCCTAAGTCTTAGGTGGGCATAGTTACCCCATACCTATGCTGGTGAGAGGTCGCAGGTTTTATTTTCGTTCTAATTTTTAGTATATGTCTCATAAACTTCAATGATTGAAGTGAAGCAACAGTGAGTAAGATGGCCCTTTCCATTTATGTCTTCGCGAAGGTAGAAATTTGCATTTTATAGTGATAAACAATTAATGAGGTATGGTTTCAATCTATTTGGACCAGGGAACATCCCCAAGTCAATTTATAGGGGAGTTGGCTATTAGGGGTTTTAGGGAAAATAGGTCAGCTTGACTGTGCGCCTTATAATCAAGTAATGCTGATGTACTCAGGAGGAGGTCATTACTACTTGAATTTGTTGAACTGCACAATGCGATTCCATTATGCTATCTGTCCATGCATCTCATTTGCTGAATATGTTGGAAATAATAAATAGGGATGGGAAGATTTTTCTTGGTACATCAACTTCAAGCTCGACGATGGAAGAGAGATCAAGTTTTTGCCTAATTGGTGGGCAAGATCTATTTCCATTAACTGATGCCTAAATTTTTGTTGTGGAGTTCAAGAAGTTGATGGATAGTGCTCAGATCTAAAGTCCATACTGGATCACAATTATTCTAATCTGGAAGAACTTAAAGAGCTTTGTGCCTTGCTTTTCCCATTCTCTAAACACCACTAACATGTGATTCATTCTTGTTTGAATCTTATTATGAGCAATTGATCTCGCATGTTACAACCCTTTCTGTTGCAAGTATTCTTTTGGGTAGCTACTCTGCCAAAATGGTCATACTTAAACGAGGGAAGAGGTTGGCCAACTGAAACTACTTGAATAGTTAAATTTCTAAAAGGATAAAAGTAAAAGAAGTTCACTTAAAACTTTATTTTTCAGCATGAGGTACTATGGAATTTGTTACATTCCTAAGCTTGGGACATGTCTCTAGGAATCATAGTGGTCCAGGAGGGCATTATGTTTGCCAAGTCTTTCCCTGAAGTATTAGGATGCAGGACCCTCATAGTACTGTATGAACTTTTTGGAAGGGGAAGAATAGCTCTACCCATTTTTGATGGATATATGCAGTATAGAGTCAAAAGCAGTTTGTTATGCTTCTCTGGTTTATATATGGAAGAACGAAGACAGCAAATCTCAATAGTTCTTGAGTTCAATAGTGATCGTTTAATCTCTTTATATACAAATTCTTTTTAATTACTTGGATTTTCTTATAAAAGAATCAATGCTTCTATCTTCTTACGGAAGCTTTTCCATACCATTACTTTGTTGATTGTTATTGCAAAGATAAATTGATGATGAGTATATTTATGGCTTATGAGGTGAAAGGGACAATGTATTAAGGAGATGGCATTTTGGTCTAGAAAATTCATATAAGGATCTCTTTACCTCTACTCAATTATATTTTCAATGCTCTTTTTGAGATAAGTTGCAATTGGTGATCAATCAATTGTCTTCCTTTGGAGTTTTAATAGCTTTCACTTGATTAGCTTTTCTTCTCCCTTTTTGTCTTTCTTTTTCAAGTTTTTTTTTTTGGCTTAACGGTTCTGATATATGCTTGTTCTTCTATCTAGCTGTTGACCCTGACTTAATTCAGGCCTGTTTTTAAGTGAAAATTTTTGGGTACTCATTCTCTACCGTTGCTTTTGTTCGCATAATTTCACAGTTCCTTTTTTTTTTTTGGGGCTCAATTTTCTTTAATCCTGACCAGACGAAGGGAGATGCTCCATGCTGACGGGAACTTGGTTTTTAGTCTCTCCAATCACTGAAACTTCACGCTGAAAGTGGCTATGATAAAGTTCTCTATGGAGGAGGTGGAATTGTATACCAACTGGGATAATGTGATTTGTCCCATTTGCTTGGACTTCCCTCACAACGGTGTTCTCCTCCAGTGCTCATCTTATGAGAAGGGCTGCAGGCCCTTTTTGTGTGACACAGATCATTTGCACTCCAACTGTCTAGAACGCTTCAAACAAGCACATCGGATGATAGCTGGGTCACAATTACTTTCAGCATCCAATGACAGAGAAGATATGACAAAATCGGAAGCCAAGAATTGGCCTGCCTGCCCCTTGTGTAGGGGAGAAGTTACTGGATGGGTTGTTGTTGAGAAGGCTCGCATACATCTCGATGTCAAGGAACGCTGTTGTGAAGAGGATAAATGTCGATTTACGGGCACCTATTTGGAACTTCAGAAACATGCTAAACTTGACCACCCTCATGCATGTCCCTCAAAAATAGATCCTGCTCGACAGGTTGATTGGGAAAATTTTCAGCAGTCCTCTGAAATAATAGACGTCTTGAGTACTATTCATGCAGAAGTTCCCCGAGGGGTTGTTTTAGGTGATTATGTGATTGAATATGGAAATGATAATTCTGAAGATGACTTTGAGGACTTCCCTTCAGCGGAAGGCAACTGGTGGACATCATGTATCTTGTATCAGGTATTTAATAACTTTAGGACGTCTAGAAACAGAAGAAGATCTAGAGTAAGTAATACAAGAAGAGGAAACCGCCATTTGGGTTATGATGCTTCAAACTCTGACGAGAGTTCTGTGACATCTGTAGAATATGTAGATTATGGGGTTGACGAGACTGATGATGAGCTTGTAAGTGCTGCTGGCCTCTCAAGGAGAAGAGCTGATAGTCGCAGGTCAGCAAGTTCTATACAGATTATTGGCCTTTATTTACATTATGCACTACCCTTGTTTTAAGCTCATGTTGATTTGAAATGCTTTTGCCACTCTAAAACGTGAGAATCCATTTTTGTGAATCTCAGCTATTTCGATATTCCTCAAGCTGCTATCTTTGTTTCCTATAAGATTGAGCAAAATATGGAATTCCTGTTTTAATTAAGAAATATCCAAACATCTAGTTTACATGCCATAGGGTGAGCATGTGAGAAATGCAGTGGGGTGATAATAAAAAGCTGCTGTGTGTATAATTTCTAACAGATAAAAGGCAAAGTCTGGTGGCATCTCACATCAGACTTTTTCCCCTGGTGTAGAGTCTATGTGGCCCCACAAATTTCCTTTTAAGCTTCCAGCCTTTTCTCATTTGGTCCGCTATGATTTGTGGAAACCTTGCTCCCTTTATTCTCCTATTAGACAACGCCTCGAATCGAGCTTTTATTGCAACATGCTCTAGGTTGATGTGTCCTTTATGTAGTCGTGGCCTTCACCAGATCGATTGTTTGCTTCTAGTGAAGTGAGAATCAAACGAACTGCACTCCACATCATATGTTTTCTGAGCAGATTACTCACACATTTTTGATGCATTAGATATTCTTTCTCCTTTTTAATAATTCTTATTAACTTTTCTGAGTCTTTCAGTTGATTGCTAATTAGATTGTCTCATTTGCACGCTTACAAATACATATTGACTGATTGAAACTTCTCGTTCTGTGCGTATGAACTCCACTATAGTTGCATTTAAACTCCTATCTTTGGAACTGTTGGCTTACTTTTTCTCATACTGTTGCTAAAGTACGTTGCATTGGCATTCACTCAGCCCCATGTCTAATTACAATGACCAACCAACGGTATGCATTATACCTGTATATATCAAAGATTCCCATGCTTGGACATCATCACTTATTCTATTATTTCGTTAACAAACTTGGACCCTTCTTGATACCGTGGAAGTTCTTTGTCCTTAATTTTGGTGTTCTGACATTCAGAAGTTTGAGCTTCTCAAATATTTTGAGTGTCGATCATTGGCATCTACAATCAAAGTAGCTTCATTTGATTGCAGGCAATTGCAGCTTCTTTAGGAGAATTTGATTGTTCGTCTATGGCCTGAATCTTTGTCCCTTACCTTTACTTTTTTGCTAATGCTAATCTCCTTGTGGGAACTATAGAGAATTGATATGGGAAGAAAATGGAGGGTTAAATGTGACTTCAAGTTTTATATTTGTTTTCACCAAGCATTTTGGTTGCCAAAAAAGCAAGACAGTGAAAATTGATTCTATCATTAGTATGTAGCAAAAAAAAGAAATCCGTGTTTCCTAGATGGTGAGATAATGTCATTCTGTTTTTCATCTTTCTGACTAATACGGAGGAGACACAGTTAACCACAGAAATGGAACTGAATTAGGGTCATCAATAGGCTGATTCAATTTAAGCAATTGCTATTGCTGAAGCATAGAAATGACACATATGAAGGAGATTGCTTTTTCCAATTTGCTTAGTTTCTTTGTCATTATTCAGTCAGATTCACCACTTATTCCTTCATCCTTTTTTGGTACAGTTCTCGAAGGCGTCGTTCCCGCTTCTATGACAATTAGGTAACTACTACTGTAATTGAACTCCAGTGCTCCTCGCTGATTCATATAGTCTGTTTGATGTGGATTATTTTCGTTAATTAGTACCTTATATTAGAACTAGGTGCAGGAACAACAGTTGAAATGGCTTGCACCTGGAAAAAGGTCAGGAGGCTGTTGGATTTCCCCCTTCTCCCTCCTCCCAGCCCAACCCCAGTAGACTGAGCCAATTTAATGGCTCGCCCTGACTACCATGATCCAATCCATGATTCCCATTGCTCCAGTAACTAGATCGCTCCATTTCTTACGGGTGATTTTTTCACGTTGTAGGGTTAATAAGGATCCATTGGAAAGACTGAAGTGTCTATTCATTTGCTCGAAAGCTAGCATCATCCAAAGAAGGAAGTGTTCCCAAGTATTCCTGGTGGAGTAGTGGCTATGGAGTGAAGAGGGAAAGGATAAAACTTGTTCATGTAGTTGTGGTGCAAACGATTGTAAGCTTGATGCTTGCTCATGATAAACTGAAGGCTTCATACATAGTCTTTTGGACAATTTAACTTACTGTGTTAGTGACCATTTGAATCAGTTTATCATCATCTTTTGCAGACTGCCAATTGCTTTAGATCCTTCTTCAGTTTCTAAAAAGGGTAAATAGTAACCTCCAATAATTATTTGTTTTTTTAATCCAATAATGATTTGTTGATTGTATCAATTTTTGCATTTCTCATTGGTGATGGATATTGATAAATTAGTTCAATGAATGATTTTGGAACTTTTGCAATGATGCAGCTTGCAAATGTTAATACTAAGTTCACTTTTCAGTTATTAAAGGAGGATGACATTCTCAAGACATTTTTCATCTAGTTAACAGTATATTTCACAAGTATAACATCATTGCTTTTGTACGCTTGAGTTACCAATCAAATTAACGAGTAACAACCCCCCCCCCCCCCCCCCCCCCCTCCCCAAAACAAAACTCTCGCATTGAACCAATTTGCCTACAACCAAAAGAGGTGATCTGGATAATCAGAGAATAATTGAGAACTCACTTCTAAAGTTTGCTTTGAGGATCAAACAATAGTCCTTTCAATTTTAGGTTGAGTGATGAGTTGACATGTTAATGTGGACTAAAATTTCCGTATCTCCCAATCCATCAAAATCCACTTATAGTTATCAATGATTATACATATATTATACATTCGGCTTAATTTTTCTTTAATAAAAAAAATCTGTACCTAGTATAGTGACTGCGGCTTTTATTAATCTCTCTTGTCACACCCTTCCCAAAAGAAGAAAGACATCACTGACTCGCCAATCAACTATTTTGCGAGAAGAGGCCATCGTATTCTCCTGGTTTAATGGACATTGAATTCGTTGAAGATTCTATGCTCCTCCCTCCCATCAATTTTTTCCAACGCACACCAAAAGAGCACGCCATGTGCAGTGTTACTTATGGTATATATTTTCTCGGCGTAATACATATGGAGACACCTAAAGTTGGCACAATCTTTCACTTAGACACTTAAATTAGGCATCTTTTTAATTAGACACGTTTCTTAGGCAATTTTTATACCAATTAGACACAAAACTATGACATGGAAAAGAAAGTGTTTCTCAGTCTCCTTGAGCGCGTGAATGAAATAAACATGGTATTTTTCAATTAATTAAATATTAAAAAGGCATTTGACCACAAAAAACCCTATTTTCACTAAATCTCCCCACCCACCCAAAAAACAAACTGTGTTCCATCATCTTCTCCATTTTTCCACCATATCAGCTCCTCCACTATCTTAAACCTTCGTCCTCCGTAATAATACTCCAATAAGTCATCTTCTCCTCATAAATTACCTAGCAGCAACCATTTTTTATTTATCATCACCAACCCCCAATTCCAAAAATCCCACCAAAACTTCTCCTCCAACCACCATAATATTTCATTGCCATAATACCAAAAAGTAAATAAAGCTGCAGGAAAAAAATCATCAAGCAGAACTATCAATCTCAAACAAAGACAACTAAAAAGTGGTGAACAAATGAGACCAATATCCTAATAAATAGAATAAAATTACTTGGCCATTGTTATGTAATTTTGATATTTTTGCGGAAATTCTTGGCTTCATTAAGGAGTTTGATAAATGGGTTTTATGAACTTTAGGCTTTGGAGTTTGGATCTGTTTGACGCCGCTTGCCAGACGAGATCAGACGACAAAAATTGGACAACGAAGAGGGAGCAGGGGTGATGTCGGCAACGGGATTGGAGACATCGGCGGGTGGGGGAACGTTGGAGGTTGGGGACGAAGGGGGTATTTGTATTTTAGTGAAAATAACACTATATAGCTGAGGTGGATAGTGAGGTGGACAAAAAATGATGTGGCACGATTTATAATGGTTACTTTTGCCACGTAAACGGAGATTGCAGAACATGCGCTTGGTTAATTAATAAGCCAGCAAAAAACGTGTCTAATTGGTATGAGAATTGCCTAAGAAACGTGTCTAATTGGAAAGAGACCTAGTTTAAGTGTCTAAGTGAAAGATTGTGCCAACTTTAGGTGTCTCCGTATGTATTACGCCTATTTTCTCCCAACCCAATTAGGCTCTCTAACGAATCCCAAAAGAAACCAGGAAAATATTGGTGGTCATAAAATGACATGGGGAGACCAAACATGGATTCTTATAACTCTTCATTCACACAAACACCAACGGAAAAAAGAAGTGCACTATTGATGATGATAAACCAATGGATTCTTTCTTATCAATTAAGCACAAGGAATTAGACCAAATAGTGTACATTCATCAACCAGTCCGAAGCTGATTTAAGCTCCTGCACTACTTGTCGACAATGAACCTCAAAACTACCAATCCAACAATGGTGGCAACTACAGCTAACATTGATAAGTAAATCGGATACAAAGTAGTCAAAAGTTGTATCCTTCAACACATATATAGCTTTAGAGATATCTAGAAGATGACAAGACAATGCCCTCGCAACCATCAGAAGACTACGGATGTGATTACAGAGATTTGTAGGCAGGCAATACATCATTCCTCTCTTGAAGCAGGATCTAACCCAGCAGACGGGCTATCAGCAAAGTATTCTTGATGTTTGACATTCACACCATACTGTAATGCAAATCAAAAGTTAAAGCGAACCATAGTAAGCAAGTTGAAACACCAAAGATATGCAAGAATAACACTGAATCGATATCAAGGACAACCTTCGGAGAGGAAGATACAACAGAGGTTCTAAAGGGATGGAGAACACCTTTCTACCCATGAGAGCATGTCTTTCGCTTCTAAACAAGTCCTAGTTGGTATATATGATTTAGTTGCTCTTGGTAGAGAATCATATATTTTGTGTAAGGTTTTCTACTTTTTACATACCCATAGTGTATTGTCCGCTCGCATCAACAAAATCTTTACCTAACCAAAAAATTTAAACTAAACATTAAATTTTAAAAAAGATCTATAATCCAGGAACTTCATAGACACAAATGATTGTATACAATGTGAATCATCACTTTTCAAGTTCACATAGAAAAAACATCCAGATCAAGCAGTATTCAGCAAGCAGATTCTGCCAAAACAGCTTATGCACGGATATTAAATTTCATCCTTATATCTCGATCTGCTCACTAGCTCTCAAAGTACTAACTGAACACAGCTATTTAACTACAAAAATCATTTAGAAAAAAAAAGCAATTGTAATGAATATACCACTTCAACAAAGAACTATTGCTCAAAAAACATTATACAAGAGACTGCTTAAGGGTATATTAGATGAAATTACAGTGATGGGTTAACTTTTTTTCTGTTTTTTTATAGAGAAAATAATGATTCTAGTCCGATGCTTACCTCTCGTAGAGATTTTGAAAGATCATCCATCGTCAAGATAAGGCGTTTGTCCTGCTAAACAGAGTTAGAACCAATAAACATAGGCAAATGAAAAGAGAAATCTGTGAAGCACCTTTTGCTGCTTATCTCTTTTATCCTTGACAATGGCTGACTGTCTTGCCTTGCAATGCCTGCATCACCGTGAGAAACAAGTTAGTTTATCTAATAGAAGCTCGGATTCCGAGAAACATAAACCAAGAACATGTGAAAGTTCTCGAAATTCAACTCTATTTCTGGTCTCAACTCTCAACACAAGAGATTCAACTCTATTTCTGGTCTCAACACAAAGAATGGGGTTATCCTTTATCCACATCTACCCACAACTTCATCAACTTTCCTGCCTTCAACCACTGTCATTTTGTTGTTTCAACGCTATTTCTAGTCTCTACACAGAATACCAAAGGGGATATCCCTTGCTCCTAATATATCCACAGCTTTCATCGACCTTCTTGCCTTTAACCACTGTCATTATGTTGTTTTGCCATTGCAACAACTCCTTTTCATAAATTCCAATTCTTTGGAGCATTAATGATAGATAAGACACCAATCTCAAACCCTTATTGATTCTACCAATGATAAGGCCATACTTTATTCTCAAAAGTATCACAATTGGAACCTAAGTTCTTCCCGGAATCCTATGGGATCTAAAGAAACTTGCAAGACTACAAGATGGAGGAGCTTAACAGTTTAATTAAGAGAGAATGGTATTTAACTGCTTAAAAAAATTTCCAAGAGAACTTCTGCATAGAACACAAGGAACTCCCTTATTACTCAATATGGATTCCTGTAGCCTAGAGAAAAGTAACTCGAGTAGAAAAAAGGATAGAATCCTAGAAGGTAACTACAAGCCATGACGCACTCCTGCAAATGTTATTTTCAACTAAAAAGAGACTAGGTGGCAAAGACGATCAGATGCTGCAAATAAGGGGTACTCTAACATGCGGAAGAAAATTAATATCTTCCTCTCTGGAACAAGTTAGCTAAGAATAGTTTTTAGTTTAACATGTAATCAGTAGACATGTGATTTTTGATCCTCCCCAAAATTTTATATATTTTAGCGTGTAAATATTTAGTTTAGGCCTAATATAGTTATTTCAACTCATTTTGACTCTTTTACTTTATTTTGTTACAAGAAAAATGAAAATCACAAAAAATATTTTAGTTTATGTATTTTTCATAAACTTTTATGAAAAAAAAATATATAAAAATGGTACCTTATTTTTATCTTTATATAATTTCGAAAACACAAAAATAGTTTCATGGTTAGTTTAATTAATTAGGATTAGCTTTAGATTGTGTAGTATTTTTATCTTATTTTAAAAGGAGGTGTGACAGCTCTGGCGGCTCTGTTGGGGACAAGAACCCAGAACTTCTGGTTCAGGGTTCAGAATTCGAGCTTAGATGAATTGTTATATTTGACTTTATCTATTATCTGATTTTATTACATGGTTGGGCCTAATGTGCTAAATGTTGTTTTTACCACTTTGATATTATCTGAACTGTATATAAACTGTTACGAAACCCTTCTCTTCTCATCTTCGAGGATGTACTCGCTGGTCGAGACTCCCTATTCTGTTAGTGTCATACCTTGAAATAAGAAAGAGGCTCGGACAAGTTACTAAGCCGGATGGCCTTTTGGTTCCCGGTACGTAGCCTCCTCGGCTCGAGTTATCCGCTCGGGTACACAAGTCTAGAACAAATGCCCAGGTTTTGAACCTAGAATAACTTAGCTTCATGTCGGATCCCTAGTAGGAACGCTTGTTTGCATCATGTGCATTTGACTTAGGGCACTCAACATTTTTATGTGCTACATGTTGCATTTATTCAAGGGTAAAAGGGTCATTTGGCGGACCAATGATAGCTGAGGGTAAATGAAGAAATGAAAAAAAAACAATGAAAAAAAAAAAGAAAAAAAAAGAAAAAGAAAAAGAGAGGGTGAAGTGTGGAGATAAAGCGAGTGGGGCCTAATTATGTTTTCTGTTACATTTTGTTAAGAGAAAAAAAAAAAGAGCTTGGAAAATTCAAAAGATTTTTGTACTTTTTCATCATTTTTCAAAAATCAAAATCAAAAAAGGGGAAAAAGAAAAAAAAAAAAAAAGAGTTTACATGTTTCATCATTTTTCAAAAAAAAAAGTGAAAGAAAAAAAAACATATTTTCTCTAAATTAGTTGTTATTTTTATTTCTCGCCCGTATCCTATCTGCCCGAACTACGCATACCTGATTCTCGTCTTTCGGAACGTGATACGTAGGCAACCCATATATGGTCCGGTCTTCCTAGTAAATCTTAGGTTCTTGGCATTGCGGGGTCATAGCCAAATTTTGCACTTCTAGCCACCTTTTGGCNACAAAGAACTGTCTGTGTCCCCTGACGTTCGCCTTCCCGCGGGATTCAAAGTGCCAAGATTTAACTTGTATGATGGGTGTGGAGATCCGGTAGCCCATTTGAGGGATTATTGCAGTGAAATGAGAAGTGTTGGCGAGAAAGATGATTTGTTGATGGCGTACTTCAGTGAGAGCCTGACCGGGGCAGCTTTGGAATGGCATAATCGTCAAGATGTTGGTAAGTGGCCTACATTGGGTGACATGGCTCAAGATTTTGTTCGATACTTCCAATACAGATCAGGTGTTACCCCAGACCACTCCTCCCTATCTAAAATGGAAAAAAAGCCAGAGGAAAGCTTTAGGGAATTTGGGCTCAGATGGACGGAGCAAGCTGCTCGAGTCAATACCCCGATTGGTGAAGAAGAAATAGTTGAGCTTTTCCTACAAGCCCAGGGGCCCACCTACTTCAGTCATTTGATCCCGGCCTTAGGAAAGCCTTTCAAATATGTGTTAAAAATAGGGGAGCTAGTGGAAGAGGGAATCAAGTCAGGCAAGATCATGAGTTGTTCGAAAGACATTCAGAACATCCCAGTAAGCTTGGGTGGAAGAAAGAGAAACAGAAAAGATGATCTGATGGGCTTTCCCGATCAACACTTCCAGCCTCGACATCGTCCCCGTGGATATCCTTGTGCGCTAGATGATCCTCCCTAATGCCACTTCTCTCCACAGAACTCCCAAAATCACACATCACTTTCCCAGTACCCAGTTCCACAAAATGCATATCCACCTCCACGAGCCTACCGAAAACCTCCTGGATCAGGTTTCCGGCCCAATCAAGCATTCTCTAAAAGGCTTTCACCCCTATTAGAGAATCATACGCCAGTTTGTTCCAAAAGTTGAAGCAATTGGACATGTTGAAGCCGATTCATATAAAAATGCCAACCCTCTGTCAAAGAAGTTTGATTTTTCTCAAAGGTGCGCATATTGCTCAGATGCCCAGGGGCATGACATAGAGAAGTGTTGGAATCTGAAGAAAGCAATTCAGAAGCTTATTGATGCAGGTGACATTGTCGTGCAAAATCCAGATGCAGCAGACACTAGCCAAAGTCCATCGCCTGTTCGTAATGAGATGCATATGGTGAGTATGATTTGTTTTGAAAAGGAATATGAGAATTCTTCTGAGATCCTCGAAGGTCCACGCGCTGCAAAGTTTTCAGTGCTATCAGAGGTTGATCTTAAGAACGAGCCAGCAAAGGGAACCCAAAAGCAATTTATTAAGAACAATGTGATGGAGGTTTGTGAGGGTCCTAGTAATGTTGATGCGGAATTCAGTGGCTAAGATGCCGAGCTTGACAATTGGAAAGACGCTCATTTCTTGGTTAGTCGGGGAGGAGTTTTGGTGGTTTATTTTGTTGTCATTTCTGTTGTCCGGGTTATTTCAGGGTTGTAATCCGGATATTGTCTTGTGACTCGAACCCTTCTATCCTTTTATTTTTCCTAGTTTGTTTAGTCATAGTAGCCCGTCTAGTGTTGTCTAGGTTTGTGACCCCAGTTTAGTTTGTTTATTTTGTTGTTCAAACTCTTTCACCATCTGTCTAATGCAATTTTTTGTTTTCTGTAATTTCTAGTCATTTTCGTTTAGTTCCCTTTTCTTTTTATAGTTCTTTTCCTGATTGACTCGAGTGACATGACATGACATGCACGCGTAATTCTCAACCTGGTTTAAAAATCAGTTTAGTCACGAAGCAACGAAACAATGTTGAAGATGTAAGGACATTTGAGGGAAATAAGTGAAAGCATTTTGAGATCACTTCAAGCCTAAATTGTGTGAAACTGGGGCAGATAGAACATAAAAATACACTATTGAAATGCATCATGCTGCATCGGGTGAAGATAACGGCAAGTTTGCCCCAAATTTGTAGGGGGTCGTTTGTGGTAGTGGTAGTGAGAGTGTTGTCCAATGGTGCTTTGTATGTAACAGATGTATAAGGCGAATGTGTGGATATGGTCATCAAGTCTAGCGCAATCAAAAGATGTTACGAATGTTTTC